TTTTTTTTTTTTTTTTTTTTTTTTTTTTTTTTTGGGGGGGGTAGTTTTTTTTTTTTTTTTTTTTTTTCTGTAAACTACACGGTGTTTTTGTCTGTAGAGTTTGGTTCCAGGAGTATCAGGAAGATCTTTGATGTTACAGCCTTTTGAATACCGACATGAAGGTGTGTGCGTGTGTTTTACCATGGGATAACTTAATGCAATCATTTGGGTTTTTCGAAGGAAATGAGCAGTTCCAGAAAACAGCGATGCCCGATATTTCAGGTATCGACCCAAGTCATTCTCTCCGGAGACAGCGAGAGTGTTCAATGCTTTAGGCTTCGCTCCGAACATCAGTAGGTCTAAACCGCCTCACGGGTTTTGTTGGGAGTGGCACGGTTTTGAAAATCCTGTTTTCCGATGGTGCGTAACTGTTAAAATAGTCAAGTTTCTTGGCTGTGAGTATATCTATAAACACACAGGCGTTATTTATACATAAAATAGAGCATGAGCTCATATCTGTGCACAAATACAAAAATACTTCTGTTTTTGAACCGCTGTTTAGAGAACTGCTGGGATTTTATTTTACTTTTTTTTTACTCGAAGCGGGCAGATAAGATTTTGAAGAGTTTTTAGAGACTGTCTGGAATGCCTCTGAGCTGTGAAAAGTAATACCTACTGTTCAAAGTGCTGGTGGAAAATAAAGATAAGCTTTCCCTTCTTCCGCAGAGAGAGAGACCTGCTCTCTCGTGTGTACCTGCCTGGCGGGCTGCGTCTGATGGGGGCCACGGCTGGAAGAGCATTTGCAGTCACTAAGAGGTCGCCCAAGTCTTTTCGCCGCTGTTCTCCCTGCGTAGCTTTTCAGCTGCGTTGTATTTTTTTTTTTTTTAAGGTTACATCCCTTTATATTTGTGTGTGATGTGGAATACGTTGCTTTATCCTTCCACACGTGAGGCATTTCAGCATTGCAGAGGTGTTTGTCGTGCTATGCTTGCGTATTCGGCGTTAATCGTGCTCTTGTTTTATGGACTTTATTCAGTATAACTGTGTGTTTTGTTTTGTTTTGTTTTTTTTTTTTCTGATATCCTATTTTTCCCAAATCTCTGCTCTGGCTTCTTTTTAGATCTCTTTGAAACTACACAAATTCTCACCATCCCAACGTACCCTCCAGCTTATTGCAGAGTATGTCACAGTCTCTTTCCTCAGCTACAGCAGCAAAGGTCTCTGCTCTGACCACTGCTAACAACTTGGGGTAGACGTTTGGCATGTGGCTTTAACCATGAAAATACTTTTTTTTTTCCCTTATTTAGTATTTCAATGGATTTTCTAATACTGAAAATTTCCATATAAAGACTCTGTTCCTGCTGCAGAGCCGTGTGTGTGGAACAGAACTCTGTAAAAGTGAACGCCTTTGCGTTATTTAGCGTGGCATTTAGAACAGAACAAAAGTATTTCCATAAATCCATTGTTTCCAACAGCACAATAATTGGTCCGTTTTCTTTAAATGAACCTGCTTTTTTATTTACTTTGATTCTACAGGTATTTCTTACTAAACATTGCTAGTAATTTCTTGATAAAATTCTGTGTCTTCTGGAAAATGCTAAGTTTTGAAGATGAAATCAAAGTTTCTCTGCTTATGTAGGTCTAGTGTGGCATTGCCTCAGTGAAGATAAACAGGTTAGGAGCATTATCCATGGTATTTGCCTGGATGTGGAAAAATGGTCTTGGAAGAACTGATTTTTCTCCTCCTATGAGGTTGCAAGTTTAACCGTCAACATTAAATTCACCAAGATGTTGAAGTTAGATCATTAGAAGCCGTTTGACCTCGAACTAAATATCCCTCTAATTAAAAAGTGATCCCTGCAGCCTACCTAAACCTGACACGTTGAAAGGCTTAAGGCCTGAGCGGGAGCAGTTCATGGGGAATGGTGGCTGGTGGGAATTAG